CCTACCAACCCCAGAGTGGGTACAAAATGATATCCACAGTTTTATATGGTTTTTTTTTTTACTCATGTCTTATTCTTTGGAACAAGAGAAATATACTAAAAATCTAACTTAATTTGGAGAGAAATTATAAACTGTAATCTGTTCATTGACTTTAGCTAAGTAAAGCAGCTTTACAACGAGAATATAAAATACATTAATATCCAAATTCTTCACGAGATGCTTGTTTTAGGTGGAATTTACTGCCCTGGTGGTAAAGTTTGAATTTCAGAGTTTTTCAAATCTAATCTAAGGACATTTAGTTTACATGCAAATTTTTGTGGTCACACTGTTTAATATGAAATTCTTAATCATTAAGCATAATTGCAATTATTTTATTCATGAGCCTAAGAATGTGTGATTTTGATGCTTTAACAGTCTGGACTAATCCGTGACAATAAGAAATGTTCACTTCACTATACCTATAATTTTTCTATTTTCTTTTTATTGAACAAATTCTAAGTTGAACTGGTAATGTAATTTACACAGTTCATGTTACCTTGTTTTATGAGAATTTAGATATCTACATTAGATCGAGTATACTCCTCAATTATGATAATAAAAGTTCATTTTTGGTCTGTTACGTATTGAGAATTGGAAATAATCTGAAGCCGCACCAAATAATTTAACTTTTAATAGTTGAAGTGTACCCTAGATTTAGTGTTTAGAAATATGCCGCTATTTTATTTAATTTACACTATTTGTCAACAATAATGAGTCACCATTTTTTTTTTGAGACAAATACATCTTAATATTTTTTTATATATGTGTATATTATATATATATACACAACACTATAATTTACAATAGCAATTATTATGATTAATTATTACAAACCAAGTTTCATAAACGGAAATTTCACTAACTTACTAATAGCCTAAAATCGTCTTCCTAGTTCAGAGTCTCCTTGATATCCAGTGAGATAACTTGAAGTTGACGTACATACAATTGTCTGTCGGGAAAATAGCTAGCTTTGTCAGGCACTGAATTGTTGAACCATTGAAGTAAGATAATATTTTCATAAAACCACTAATGTCTGATTAGAAATCAGTAATATTTTTGGAGAGATATTAACGTTTGAGAATTCACTGATGTTTCGAAATTTATAACTGTTCCTGGTCAAATGTCGGATATTTTCCGGTTGATAAGGATTAGCAAAATCACAGTTTATAGCTTACACGGTTATAGCAGTTTCCTAGTAGACTTGTCTCTACTCTGTTCTCTGTTGTTTTTTGATGTGATGCCCTGCTGTTTTTATAGGCGAGACACATTTTCTAGAAACTTCTGATAATACTGGTTATGGAAGTGGATATATTGTTGATTCTTGTGTTCACGAATATTCTACAATCTTGGAAAATTGGCGGGAGTTTCACCATACATAACTAACACGGTAAGCTAGACACGCCCTCAAATATAAACTTATTCGAAACAAACGTTGACATTAAAATAAATATATAACAAATTCGTTATACGCAACACATATCTGATAATACAAGTCATGCGTATTTCTAAATACAAATTCAATACAAACAATGTTAATATTAAAAATAAATACATAATAATAAATTTGTTACAAGTCTAATTTTCCTATAAGCTTTATATATTACATATAAGAGTTTAGTAAAAATAAGTAGCCATTGAAATTGTAAATATTTGGTTCACTAAAATATATTATTGAAAGTATTTTTAGCAAAGTGGTTTGATTTTTTGTATATATATATTTTTTTAAAGGCTTAAGTATGCTTGCTTCTTATTTGTATAGGCTCTTTGAATTATGTCACATGTGATAAAAGAATGTTGGAACCATAATCCAGCTGCCCGACTCACAGCTCTTCGTATCAAGAAAACAGTAGCCAGCCATGGAGTGCAGCATTACATGAAGATGTGATTGTGTGTGTGTGTGTGAAGAGAAGGGAATGTGGTTGAAATTATAAACAACAAAACAGAGTTTATCTATGTGACTCATAGAGTAACCAAGTTAATGTGATGCAAGGTTGTGCTGCATGTCATATTGCATAATAACTGTTCAATACTTAATTTTAAAGAATAATTAGGGTGTAACATGGACTATGAAACCTGTAAAACTTTTGCTATTAGTATGAAAATAAATTAAAGGAACTAACATGTTTTGGCACTTTAATTCTGTATAACAACATGAAGCATCCCTTTTTGTTCAAATCAATTTGTTATTCAGGCACTCCAAAACATCAGTACCTCACCCATATTCATATTACAACTCCATGTATTTTTTTCCTCAGGTTCAAATAGGATATACATATTTTTAAAGTAATTTCATGTTTCAAATACTTAGAATGTTTGTTTAGAATGAGATTAGAGAGAGAGAAAGAAAAATCTTATCTGTTTCTCAGGTTATTTTTGTAACCATATCCTTCCTTTGTTCTAAGCATTTTCAATTCAAGTTTAGAGTGATATTTTTGGTTATTTATTGCTCTTGTGAAATGTTAATAGATTTTATTAGCTAAAATTAAGGTTCTGTTTTTAATCTGATAATGAAAACTTTTTTTTATACAACTGTATTATAATATTTTGTGTGAAAGATACTAGGTAGTTTTGTGGCTTTTGTAAAAAAAATTATCTCTATAGGTGTGAGGAATAACTTAGCTAATTGGATAGAAGAGTGGCTAGATGGGAAAAAAAGCAGAGGGTTGTTACAAATGGAGTTCAGTCAAACTGGATTAATGTCACAAATGGGGTACCTCAGGGCTCAGTCTTAGAACCTTTGCCCTTTTTGATTTACACCAATGGCATAGATGAAGTAATAGTCAATAAGTTACTTATATTTGCAGATGATATTAATGTCTTGGGTGTTGCTAGCTGTGAAGAGGATGCTGCTGGTTTACAAAAGGATTTAGATCATTTAGTAAGTTGGACACATAAATGGTAGATGGGCTTTAATTACAATAAATGCAAGAT